TTGAAAGGGCCATGGGCTGCCAAAAGAACCAACAGATCTGTGTTGGAAGAAGTGCAGCCAGAGTGCTCCTTGGAGGCCAGGATGGCCAGACTTCGTCTCTCATACTTTGGATGTAGCCAGGAGGGACCAGTTTCTGGAGAAGGATATCATGTTTGGTAAGGTGGAGAATCAAAGAAAAAGAGGAAGACCCCCAGTGAGATGGACTGGCCAAGTGGCAGCATCAATGGGCTCAAGCGTGGCAACAATTGTGAGGTTGGCCCAGGATTGGGCAGTGTTTCATTCTGTTGTGCAGAGAGTCACTATGAGTCAGTACCGACTTGATGGCACCTAACAACAACAACATCATGCTGATCCTGATTCTTATCCTTCCTCATAAATGTAGATGAGGTCTGACCCTAGAAGAATCCACCTATCACTTGAGTTGTTTCCAGTTTTTGATGACTATGAATAGCACTGCTATGTACATGTATATGGAACAGACCATCAATTGCTCATATGCAAGTTCAAGCTGAAGCTGAAGAAAATTGAAACAAGACCACAAGAGTCAAAATATGACCTTTACTACATCCTACCTGAATTTAGATACTATCTCAAGAACAGATTTGATGCATTAAACACACACACAAAAAAAAACAAAGACCAAAAGAGTTGTGGAATGACATCTACAACATCATACACAAAGAAAGTAAAAGGTCATTTAAAATACAGGAAAGAAAGAAAAGAGAAAAATGAATGTCAGAAGAGACTCTGGAACTTGCTATTGAGTGTAGAGAAACTAAAGCACCAGGAAAAAATGAGGAAGTAAAAGAACCGAACTGAAAATTTCAAAGGGCAGTTCTAAAAGACAAAGTAAAGTGTTATCATGAAATATACAAAGACCTGGGTTAGAAAAAAAGGAAGAACATGCTCAGCATTTCTCAAGTTGAAAGAACTGAAGAAAAAGAAGAAAAAAGTCAAGCCTTGACTGACAATATTGAAGGAATGATGCAGGAAGCATCAAAAGGAGATGGAAGGAATACACAGAGTGACTGTACCAAAAAGAATTGGTCGATGTCCAATCATTTTAAGAAGTAGCCTATGATCAAGAATTCATAGTATTGAAGGAAAAAGTCCAAGCTGCACTAAAGGTATTGGTAAAACAAAACAAAACAAAAAAACAAGGCTCCAGGGATTAATAGAATACAAATGGAAATATTTGAACAAACTGATACAGTTACTGGAGGACTAAACTCATCTATGCCAAGAAATTTGTTAGACAGCTAGCTGGCCAACTGGTTGAAAGAAATCCATATTGGTGCCTATCTCAAAGAAAAGTGACCCAACAGACCAGGTCAATCATTGAACAATATATCATTACTATGACATACAAGTAATGTTGTGCTGAAGCGAATTTAAAAACAGTTGCAGCAGTACATCAACAGTTTAAATTCAAGATGGATTCAGAAGAGAAACTAGTGATATCATTGCTGATGTCAGATAGATCTTGGTTAAAAACGGAGAATACCAGAAAGACGTTTACTTGTGCTTTACCAACTATGCAAAGGCTATAACAACTATGGCTAAACAAACTATGTATAACATTGCAAAGAATGGGTATTCCAGAACACTTACTCATGCTCATGAGGAACCTGTACATAGATTAAGAAGCATTTGTTAGAACACAAAAAGGAAATACTGAATGGTTTTAAATCAAGAAAGGTGTGTGTCAGGGTTGTATCCTTTCACCATGCTTATTCAACCAGTAAAGTGAGCAAATAATCCAAGAAGTTGGATTATGTGACGAAGACATGCCATCAGGATTGGAGGAAGACTCATTAACAACATGCTATATGCAGATGATACAACTTTGCTTCCTGAAAGTGAAGAGGATTTAAAATACTGATGAAGATAAAAGACTACAGCCTTCAGTATGGATTGCCCCTCAATGTAAAGAAAACAAAAATCCTAACCACTGGACCAATAAATAACATCATGACAAATGGAGAAAAGATTGAAGTTGTCCAAGACTTCAATTTTGGTTGGATCCACAATCAACACTCATGTAAACAGCCATCAAGAAATCAAATGACGTATGGCATTAGGCAAATTTGCTACACAAGATCTCTTTAAAGTGTTCAAGAGCAAAGATGTAAGTTTGAAGACTATTCACCTGACCCAAGCTAAGGTATTTTTAATTGCCTCAAATGTATATCAAAGTTGGACAATGAATAAGGAAGACCATGGAAGAATTGATGCATTTGAATTATGGTGTTGGAGAAGAATATTGAAAGTATCATGGGCTACCAGAGGAACAAACAAATCTGTCTTGGAAGAAGTGCAGCTAGAATACTCCTTAGAAGCAAGGCTGGCAAAACTTGGTCTCTCGTCCTTTGGATATATGTCCCTAGAGAAGGACATTATACTTGGTAAAGTAGAGGGTCAGTGGAAAAGAGGAAGACCTTTAATGAGATGGATCAACACAGTGGCAGCAATAATGGCATCAAAGGACAAACGTGAGGATGGCACGGGACCGGGTAGTGTTCTGTATAGGGTCACTATGAGTTGGAACCAACTGAACAGCACCGAACAGCAACTGAATATACTAATCAGAATAATACAACTTGATGAATTTCTACCCTTAGTCATTCCAGGTTCTGGGCTGGGTGCTGAGAAGAGAACAGAGAACAAGACAGACATTCTCATCCTTGCCCTGTCTTGCAGCTTTCCATTGACTTTTCTTTTTTGCCAGTTCAACTTCTTATAGGTGTACAACTTACTGACAGCATGTATCAAGGTGTTTTTTCTTCTACTAGTTGAGCATTCCATTATTGTGTATGTACCACATTTCGTTCATACATTCATCTGCTGATGGGCATTTAGGCTATTTCCACCTTTTGGATATTGTGAATAGAGCTGCAATGAACATGGGTGAACAAGTTTTTGAGTCTCTGCTTTCAAGTCTTTCAGGTGTGTGCCTAGGAGTGGAATTTCTGGGTCATATGGTCGTTCTAGTTTTTTGAGGAAACCCAATGATGTGCTTTTAGGTTTACTTCTTCCTCCTTCAAACAGATTTAATATTTCAGGTTAAAATAACACGTGTGTACTTTGCAAGAGATATTTGCCAGATTTGTGGCTGCCCAGCGTCTTTTGAATAGTCTTCCTGTATTTGGGGACTTTTCCATGACAGAGTCTCTGCCTTCCTAAGGCAATAACAGAGTTCATTCCCCAGCCTTTTTTGCAGGTAGGGTGTATTGATCTATTGGTTCAGCACGTGGTTCTTTGATTCATTAGAGAGCAACCTGAGGATTCAAGCTTTATGAAGAATCTGTTTTCATGTGCAAGCGTGGAAAAATCGGGCTTCCCAGGCAGCAGCGATGACATTTTGGGACCCCAGTGTCCAGCAGAATAGCGGTGGTGGTGTCTGACTGCAGCTGACCCACAGAATGGTTTGCTTCTGGATGTGCTGATTCTAGGCCTCTCTGGCTGTACCAGAGATACTATGAGCTACCTTAGATCATTCATTGCTTATCTTTGCAAAATCATGACATATACTGAATTACATTTCTCATATTCACAAAAATCATTGCAGATAAGTATTCTTACACATTTTGCAGATAAAAAACAGACACACACAAAAACAATTCACTACACAAATATTTATTAAAGGCCTATTGTGTACCAGGCACTTGAAATGGAGGTGTATACCGAACAAAATCATTCCCTGCAAGTTCAAAAAAATAATGGCATAATAAAAAAGTACCTAGAGGGAACGAATTGCTGGGCCTTTGGGCTCAGGACCATGGGCTCAGGGGACACCAAAGTCAATTTGTGTAACATAGTCCACAAAGAGAGTGTTGTACATTCTACTTTGGTGAGTAGCTCCTGGGGTCTTAGAAGTGGGTGAGTGGTCATCTTAAAGTGCAGCAGCTATCCAGAGGAAAGAAGAGTGAGAAAAATCAGAAACTCAGGGAAATAATTAGCCCAATGAACTAATGGTCCAGAGCACGCCAGTCTTCATGACCCTGGAGCTAGCGGAAATAGATGGTGCCTGGCTAATATCACCAAGTGCTTTGAAAGGGATCATGCTAGAAGGTGTGGATAGAGTGGGAGAAAAATGTGGACTAACACTCAAAACCACACACGAAAAAGATCAAGCCTACTGGTCCATTAGAGGCTGGTGGAACCCCCTGAGATTATGGTCCTTAGTCACCTTTCAGGTCTGAAAAGAAACTCAACTTTTTAGCCAAATAATAGGAGTCCTAGTGTCGCACTGTGGCTTAATGCACTGGATTGCAAAGTATTTGAACCGCTCACCAGCCGCTCCTCCGAAACCCTATCCAGGGTCGCTATCAGTTGCAACCGGCTAGACAGCACTTAACAACAACATAAGGGGACTCCTGGTGTGGCACTGTAGACTCTGCAATGGACTACGAATCGCTAGGTTGGCAGTTCAAACCCACTAGCTGCTCCTCTGAAATCCTATAAAGGGTGGCTATGAGTTGGACCGACTCAACGGCACTGAACAACAGGGAGAACAATAACGCCTTAGAATAATCAACCATTTGAAACCAAAAGGGCAGCATTTAATCACAGACAAAATTCCGAAGGGTTAGGAAAGGAGGAAACGGGAACACGGGAACACACGCAGGAAGTGGGATACGGTGATGCTTCATGGTGGGGACTGCAATCAAGGAGATGAAATAAAATGTGTATGAATTGTTGAATGGAAAACTGATTTGCTCTGTAAACCTTTACCCATAGCAAAAAAAAAAAAAAAAAGGAAGAAATATAGAAAGAATGGCTGTATCTGAAATGTCCCTTTGACAAAATAACCAAAGAACAGCTGTTGTCTGGAGAGAAAGGCTTCAAGTCAAGCAGGCCCCGTTTTAAATATAGAAACCCCCTAAATATAGCCACTCATGTTCCACACGCAACAGGTGATTGGACCAAAAAGAGGGGCGGGGAAGCACCAGTGAAGGAGAGTTAAAGGGCAGTGCCGCCGTTCTCAGTAGCTGCCAACAATGGCTCTGCCTCTGAGGTCCTTGAGCCGGGGCTTGGCGACTGCAGCCAAGGGAGACCACGGAGGGGCAGGAGGTGAGTCCTGACTCGGGCTTTCTAACCTTGCCCAACTACCCACAAGCCCTCAAGCCCTGCCAGCTTCCTGGGCTTGGCAACACCCTCCACCAGCCTCCCACTACTCCCCCTTAGACCTCTTGAGAGCTGGTCTCAGTGACCCATTTTTACCTTTCCTGCTTCTCCCATCTCACACCGCCTTTCGCTGGGCCCAGGCGGCACCTGGCGCTTCTTGAGCTTCGTGCTGGCGCTTCCGAGCGTGGCCGTCTGTACCTTCAACTCCTGGCTCCACGCGGGTCACCACGAGCGCCCCGAGTTCATCCCTTACCACCACCTCCGTATCCGCACCAAGGTAGGCTCCGGGTTCCCCCCGCCCAAGGCTTCCAGACTTTGATGCAGGGACGGGAATGAGCAGGAGGCGAGGGGGCTGCAGCAGGGACCCTTATAACTTGTTTTCCCTCTTTCCACAGCCCTACTCCTGGGGAGACGGCAACCACACGCTCTTCCACAATGCCCACGTCAACCCTCTCCCTACTGGCTACGAAGACCACTGAGGCCCAAGTGGAAGCATCCCGGCTGTAATAAACAAGTGAAAGTTTCCTGTCCGCCTTCTCAATAGAGGGAGTGGGCTGGGCGGCGCATGCGTGGGGTCCTTGGCTCTGTGTGTGTGTGTGTGTGTGTGTGTGTGTGTGTGTGTGTGTGTCTGTCTGTCTGTCTGTCTCCTGTTGGCGCATGCGCACAGAATGATCTGCGTTGCACGTGTGTCCTGAATTTGTAGCTCTTCTCATGACTACGTAATCTGAGAGGTGCTGGAGGGATGAACAAGGAGTCCTGGTGTGACAGTGGGTTATATGTTGGACATCTAACTATAAGGTTAGTGGTTTAAACTCACTAGCCGCTCCGCAGGAGATAGGTGGAAAACCCTAAAGAACATTCTACACTGTTCTATAGCTCTATGAATCAGAATGGTTGGGTAGCAGTAATTGGTTGTGGTTTTTTGAGGAATGAACACATGGAGATCATCACTCCCTCTCCCCTACCTATTAATAATGAGTGTACTAGACCATAAAGGGATTTGGCATACACTAAATCCTCACAGTAACTCAAGGAGTAAGAGGTCATTTCAGTCCCCATTCACTGGGGAGGAAACTAAGATTCTCATTGATAAAATGATTTGTTCAAATGCAGGCAGCTCAGTAGAGACCCCACCATACCCAGGCTTGTTGACCTAGAAATGCCACTGTTCTCCAGACACAATCTTCTGTGAATTCCTGGTTATTTCCAGATAAACCTCATTTCAGACATGGGATCTACAGTCCCATATCTGTGAACCCTAATAACCCAATTCTGGACTTGGAACATTCTGGTCATACTTTTGATGGGTCTTCTGTATTTGTTTGGGAAATTAAGATGTTCCTTTCTGGAAGTTTGCCCTGTTGGCTTCTAGGAACGCCACCCATGGGGAACACCGGTTTAAACAATCTCAGGAAATTTTATTCATCTTCTAGGACAGTCTGCTTACGTGCCATTACCAAGGGCCCTGAAACCTGTGCTGAAATCCAACACAAACACATCCACTTACAGAACTTTGACCCTTTCTCCTGACATTAGTCACCGCACCATTAAAAATGAGATGACCCTAGGCTTCAATCACCTGAGAAAATTAAAGAATGTTTTCTATACACACACACACACACACACACACACACACACACATGGATTCCCCAAACTTTTCAACTATTCCTAGAAATAGCACTTGAGTCCCTTAGTTAGAGCTCTTCCATACAAGGAAAATGTGTAATTAATGTTCTCATTTAATGTAACAATTCTTTTATATTTGAACAATTATCACAGCATCATGCGCAGTTCTGTACAAAGAGAGGCATCCCTGAGAACATCTGACAGAATACCAAGAACTTTCAATTTGTTGGGAAACGTTGCCTAGCACTTGATAGGTGGATGAGGCCAGACCATAGCTATGCAGAAGTTATTCGTGGGGAAGTAGATTTGTAGACTAAAGCAAAACTAGCCCATGGGGTAGAAATACACAGGGAAGTGGGTCATTAAGACAAAGACAATTTGGGGGCCTCATGACTGAAAACCCTCCCCATTGAATGTGGTAGCATCTTCAGCCTTGCCATCCATCATTTCTTTGTACTGACGTTTGAAGAAGCCAAGCTATGAGGGGAAGTAAATCAGAAAAACTGGGTAAGAGCCACAAAAGAAAGTTGAAAGTAGGAAGAAGCTAAGTGAGAAAAAGAGAAGAGAGCTAAGCTAACTTGTATTTGCCAGACATTTATTTATGTGCACAACAGCTATGTCATCGAGTGTGTATGCCAAGCACAATACTAGACAGATTAGACACATAATCGGTAGCAGGAAAGCATAAGCTCTGGAGTCAGGCAGGCCTGCACACGTATCCTGCCTCATTTCTGACTCACGTTATCCACTCAGTGATCTAGGCATTTATTTCAATTTTTAAAATGAAGAAACAGGCTCAGATAGGTTGAGCAAGTGATACAGCCAAAATGTATGTTCAGGCCTGCTTGACTCCAGTCTGGTTTCCCCCACTCTACTGTTCTATCTATAAGAGGGCTTAGGTTGGATGTGGCGGTATCAAGAGTGGAATGAAAATACCTTGTACAATGTAGCTGTGATGAAAGCCAGCAGCAGCAGTCCTCCCACAGAGCTGCCCATAATGAGGGGGATAGGATTGTTGGCTTCATACTCTTCCAGCACTGTCTCCATCTTATTTGGGAGTAACCTCATCAGAAAGCATCAGGCCTACTGCTGTCTCAGACTCCACCCAGTATCCCCAACCTGAAATTCCTTCCCCAGGCCCTGCTTCAAGGGGTAGACTGCAGATCCACTGTCCTGAGATGAGAGACCTTAATCTTCCTTCCCTCCATAGCTGCAAACTTCCCCTCCAACATCAGGAACTCCTTTCACCAGCCTGACCACTGCCTACCACAGTCGGTACCTGGGCTCTCATAAAAGCCTCTTGTCCTGGAAGCTGAGAATAGACAGATCTGTTCAATGTAATTTCAGCCACAGTCACAACCAATGCCTTCTTCAGCTGCATCTGCAAACGAGAGGGACAGCTAGAGAGTTAGCTCTGGGGAAGAACATCAAGAAATGTTCTGGCTCTAGGGTGGGCACAGACACATCAGGTACCACCTGAATTTGGGGAAGAGGCTCTGCTATTGGACTCTACACACCTGGCTGACCCAACCGAAGCTGAGGTTTCCCTTCAGGGTGAAATCAAGTGCTTCCTGGATGTTGAAGGAGGGGATGTTGCAGTGAAACCTCAGGCAGATGGCAATGGAGCAGTCCTGGGCATGATATTGACAAGGGGAGGAGACATAAGAGAAAGTAGTTGGTCAGATTTGGGGTGGGGAATAGATGAACAATGACAGGATGGATATATCATATGCAATCTAAAGTGTGGTTTTCTTATATCCCCCAAATATGCAGCTATGGGGATCTAGGACTTTTCTCACCACCACGAGACTCCTTGGAATCTTGGTCAGGAAGTCAGAATGTTGGGGAGGTTCCCTCTCTGCCATACATGGGAGACTCTAGAGAGAGAACACTTTCAGCCACAGAATGACAAAAAAATTTCAGTGGTAAGAGGGTGTGGCGGTATTTGGGACTAAACACTAAGGGTAAGGAAAGGAGGACAGGCACCTGTGAAGGGGTCACCAGAGCCACATCCCACACATCCACACCATTCAACAGGATGGGAACCCAAAAATTAACGCTAATGGCCAAGTTTCGTTGACTCAGGTTATTCACCTGCAGAAAATTGAGACAGAACATTATTGTGGCTCCTGAAGCATCCCAAATCCCATGTCTTTCTTAACTCCACCCTTTGGTTCATCTGTAGCCTTCCCCACCAGCTTCCAAATTCATCGGCACCATAGAAGGCTCATGGGAGAAAGCCGATGAGGCTATCTGCTCCCCTAAAGATTTACAGCCTCAGAAACATCCTACAGGGTTGCAGTTAGTCTGAACTGACTTTGACGGCATCTAACAACACCATGGGAGGATAAACATGGATGTTTGCCAGCCTCTCACGGTATATTTATGCTTGGCCTCAGTCCTGAAGTTCTCATCAGAAGTTGAAATGTTGATGTACTTTGTGGAGTCTTCGTTCCTGGAGAGAGAAGGACTGTTGGTGAGAAACTGTCCCGCGTCTGTCCCCAGTTGTACCCAATCCTGCTGCTATAGGTTTTGTTAGTTCCACCCGATGATCCAGGGCAATATGACAGTCTGCACAAACCTCTCCAGCCTCAGTTCCAGCTGCTCTCCTCCTGATGTCTGTCCTCTGTCCCTGTCACGCCGAACTACTAGCTCTTCTCTTGACTCCCCTGACTTTCTCATGACTTTTGCTCTTTCTTCCTTGCTCAGCTCCCTTCTAGAAAATTTCCCTTAGAAGTCCAACTGAAACATTACCTCCCATAATGAGTAAACATTTCTAGTAGGTACATGCTTGTTGAGCCTGCTTGCCAGAGCAAATAAGCACAAGGGAACTCCAGAGGATTGCTGGCTGGGGCACAAACGGAGTGAGAGCCCCTCCCCCCCCCCATATTGGGAATGAAGATGTTTCTATTAGCTGTAGCTATCCCAGAGCAGGTAAGTCCATGTGAAGGAGAAGGATACATAAACACACGAAACCTGGGCATAAATGTGCCAGGCTTCAGGTGGGTATCATCCAGCCAGCCAGCCAGCCAGCCAGCCATCTATTCTGTAAACATTTACCACGTGTGTTCTTGGCCCTGGAGATTCAACAATTAACCAGCCAGAATCCCTGCCCTCTCACAGTTTAATATCTAATGTCTCAGTGGAATCCAACAGACAAGCAGAGGGACCTGCATGTTTTACCAGCATCTAGCATACAGAGTCCTGGTGTGGCACTGTGAGTTAATGTGTTCGACTGCAAAGTCGGCTTGAACTGTAAAGTTGGTGGTTCAAGCTCACCAGCCACTCCTTAGAACCCTTATACAGGGTTGCTAAGGCTTGGAACTGACTCAATAGCATACCGAAGCTAGATCAGCACACAGGAACTCCAAGGCCCCATCAGTTTCCCCACAGATGTGGCTACCACCCTGAGGATTAAGAACCTTAACCCTGGAGCCAGACCACCTGGGTCCAGATCTCATGTCTACTACTTCTGAGGAACCTGAGGCAACTTACTTAACCTCTCAGGATTCCTATTGCTTCTTCCTCTTTAAAATAAGGATGTTATAAACTGGGCCTGGTGTGGCACTGTAGAAGAAGCATTTGACTGCTAACCAAAAGGTCGGCAGTTCAAACCCACCACCTACTCCTTGGAAACTCTTTACAGGGCCTCTGAGTCAGAACTGACTTGATAACACACAGCCACCACCAGGGAGGAGCCCTGATAGTGCAGTGAATTACGAGCTGGATTGCTAACCATAAAGTCAGCAGTTCAAATCTACCAGTCACTCCGCAGGGAGAAATAAGAGGCTTTCTGCTCCCGTAAAGATTTATAGCCTTGAAAACCCTACACAGGATTGCAATGAGTAAGAACTGACTTGATGGTATCCAGCCATCACCACCTATAATAGAGGTGTGATGTGGCTTCTAGAAGTACCTGGTGGTGGTGATTATGTGCTGTGGAGTTGGTTCCAACTCATAGTGACCCTATACAGGGCTGTTTCCAAGGCTTATCAATCTTTACAGGAACAAAAAGCCTCGTCTTTCTCATGGAGTCACTGGTAATTTCAAACTGCTGACCTTGAGGTTAGCAGCCTGACTCGTAACCTCTATGCTACCAGAGCCCCTTGTAGGAGTGCCTGGCAGTAAGCTCTTCATAAATGTTAGGTGTTTTGTTTGTTTTCTCCTTTAGTATGCTAGCTTTCCTCATTATTCCTCACGCCAGCCCTCCTTCCCTGTGCTTTAATTGCCTCATCTTAAAGGTTTTCAGTTCAAAACCTCTTTTCAAATCTGAGTAAATCACCCAGTTTTCCCCAGCCCTCTGAGAGGCGTGCAGTGTGTGTATGTGGGCATGGGCTCCAATGCCAGCGATCGGAGTTCAAGGCCTCGTTCTACTATCTAGCAGCTGGATTACATGAACCTCTTGGTTTCTCTGTGGGTAAAAAGGGGATGAAAGCAGCTATCTTATAGTTACAGATATGGAGTTAAGTACTTTACATGTCTATCCATAACTCTATGAGACAGCTTTTTTTTTCAATTTGTGTGTGTGTTTATTTGGTACTTTTACCTTTTAATGTGTTTTTCTATGACTTGGTCAACCATAAGGAGATTTTTCTCTATTTCCCAGTCTGATCTCTTCACCATTGTTGTTGTTGTTGTGTGCCATTGAGTCAGGGTTCTGACTCATAGCAACCCTGTATAGGGTTTCTGAGAGTGGCTAGTGGGTTTGAACTGTTGACCATGCCATCAGTCCAGTGCTGATCCTACAAGTACCACACCTTTCTCAAAATGAAGACTGGTTTGACAGAGTCCTCTTAGAGGCCATCTGAGGATCTTCTGCCCTGGGCCAGACCCCCATTATGACCACAGTGGACACATGATTTGCTGCTGCAGATGTGTTTGGGGACAGACTTCTGGGCAGCAGGATCAAAACTCAGTTCCTCTCATGTTGGTTGAGTGAGTGAACAGACTCTTCTCCTTGCTTTTATCTTTCCTTCCTGACATTCAAACCCCCTCTCAAGTTACCATGGCAACAGCAAACAGAAATGGGAGAAAGAGCTCTGTCTACAAGCACACACGTTTACTCTTCTTAATTGACCCAAGTAGCCTGGGAAGCATCCTTTCTTGTCTCCTACCTCATCAAAATGAAATGGTCATGCTGACTGCTGGTCAGTAGAGTGGGCTCATTCCCCAGCCTTCATCTCGAGTGGAGGGGCTCATGAGCAGTGGAGCAAATACCCACAGCACCCATAAGATGCACTGGATGCTCAGAGGGGAGTGAAACCAGCAGCCTCCCGTGTCCCTACAGTAGTACACAGTCCTCCTTTCTGCCCACACACCTCCCTTTATCCCCACACCTTCCTTCCTCCTTCCCTGTACCTTGTAGGACTTGCTCAGGCACTACTTCCATTTCCCAACTATAGAAAAACTCTACCAACCTCTTTACTGACTTCTAGAATGCTGCGGAGAGAGCATGCACTTAGAGGAATGGAGGCAAGCAAGTGACAGAGAGAGAAATGGGGAGGGAGGGAGCTTGCTATACGATGCATGTCCTGTATGTGAGTGCATTTCTGGGGTACATTTTGAGGACTGTGGTAGATTGTGGGGCGGGGGAAGAGAATGAGCATTTGTGGATTGTATGGGATAATGTTTGGTGTGTGCGTGTGTTGTGGGGGGGAGAGAAAGTGTATGTGTATTTGTGAAAATGGCTCTGGAGGAAGGGGCTGGAAGGCATCCTTAATCCTCACAGGTCTATATCCCAGACCTTCTGTAAAAAACTCTAGAAGTATTCCTCTGTAAGGGAGAAGGGTCTGGGAATGAAAAGGATTTTTGTCTCCACTTTTGGGAGAAGCAGCTTCCCTGTCCTGGGTCAGTAATCCCTCATTTCCTCTCCTATCCCAAGCCAATGCAGAATTCTTCCTAGTAATATTCAAGGAGGAGTCCCTGGTGGGACAGATAGCGTTCCTCTTCTATCTGGAAGGTTGGTGGTTCAAATGAACCCAGAGATGCCCTGGAAATCAGGTCTGGTGATCTGCCTTCAAAATGTCCCAGGCTTGAACACTTTGGAGCAATTCTACTCTGCACACGTGGGGTCTCATGAATCAGAATGTGCGTCAGCTGATGATAGCATTGTTAAGCAACAGACTCTAAACCAGAGAAGTGGCTTAGCAAACTGGTGACCCACTGCCCTGGAGTTGATTTCAACTCAGAGTAGAACTGCCACATGGGGTTTCCTAGGTTGTCACCTTTACAGAAGCTGAGTGTCACATCTTTCTCTGTTGCCACTGTGCCAATCCATCTCATTGCGGGGATCTTCCTAATTTTCTCTGACTTTCCTCATTACCAAGCATGATGTCCTTCTGCAGGGACTGGTCCCTCCTGATAATAGGTCCAAAGCATGAAACACGAAGTCTGCCCCTCCTGACTTCAAAGGAGCACTCTGGCTGTACTTCTTCCAACACAGATTTGTTTGTTCTTTAACTTTTGCATGCATATGAGGTTATTGGAAATTCAGTAGCTTGGGACAGGCACACTTTAGCCCTCAAACGAACTTATTTGCTCTTGAACACTTAAGAGATGTCTTGCACAGCAGATTTGCCTAGTGCAATCCATTGTTTAATTTCTTGACTGCTACTTCCATAGTGTTGATGGTTAATCTGAACAAAATGACAACTTCAATCTATTCTCCATTTATTTGGATCTTTATTGGTCCAGTGGTGAGGATTTTTGTTTTCTACACACTGAGGTGCAATCCATATGTGAGACTGTGGTCTTTGATCTTCATCAGTAAGTATTTTAAGTCTTCTTCACTTTCAGCAAGTAAGGTTGTATCATCTGCATATCATGGGTTGTTAATGAGTCTTTCTCCAATCCTGATACCATGTTCTTCTTCATATAGTCCAGCTTCTAGAAATACTTGTTTTACATACAGATTGAGTAAATATGGTGAAAGAATACAGCATAGCTTTCCTTATTTTAAACCATTCAGTGCTCCCTTCTTAGGTTTGAATTCCTGCCTGTTGATCGATGTACAGGTTCCTCATGAGCACAATTAAGTGTTTGGGAATACTTATACTCCATAATTTTGCCCATAGCTTGTCATGAGCCACACAATTGAAAGCTTCAGCAATGATATCCCTCATTCTACGTCCTCTTCTGACTCCAGCTCGAACCTCTCTGGCAGTTCTCTGTCAATGTACGGTTTCAGCTATTTTTTAATTATCTTAAGCAAAATTTTACTTGCATGGGATATTGATGATTTCTACATGCCATTGGGTCACCTTGCTTTGAAATGGGCACAAATATGGATCTCTTCCAATCAGTTGGCTAGGTCGCTGTCTTCCAAATTTCTTGGCATAAATGAGTGAGTGCCTCCATTACCACATCAGTTTGTTGTAAGATTTCAATTTGTACTCCATCAGTTCCTGGAAATTTGTTCCTTGTCAATGCCTTCAATGCACCTTGGACTTCTTCCTTAAGTTTCATTGGCTCTTGAAATGGTTGAACACTACACCATTTCTTCTTGGTACGGTGATTCTGCGTATTCCTTCCAGCTTCGTCTTTTTTTCTTTTTAACCTTTTATTGTGAATTGAGTGAAGGTTTACAGAGCAGATCATCAGTTTTACATTCAGCAATTCATATACTTTGCTTCATTACATGGTTGCAATCCACTCCATGTACCAATTAACAGCATTTGCCTCTATTCACTTTAACTACTGCACTCCTCTGTTGTGTCTCCCAACACCCCCATCTTTCCTCTGCCAACCTCCTACCAGCTGTACAATGCCTGCCCAACCACCACTCATTAAAACTAGTGAGACAGCTAGTTTCAATCCCAATTTTTACCCATAGAGAAACCAAGAGGTTCAAGAACTTGCCCCTATAATCCAGCCTCCAAGTAGTATAGAACATAGATATTTGTGTAAATTCATATTGTAAATTCTAGTATTTTACATGGATAGAAAAGGAAACTCACACATGGTCTCTGGAGAGGCAATGACACTGCCTGAGTCCCCTCCCTAGTTAACCTAAAAGTTCACAAACAGCAGCATCAGCGACCGTAGCACCCTCTGTCCCATAGCAATTTTGCAGGCTCTGACCAGCTTTCTAACCCTCTGGAGGTTTTTCACTCAGGCCAGCATGTGAGGGTCCTTAACTCCTTTTCCACCCTAGGTCATCTCTGCTCCTAAACTCACTTTCAGGACCCAGAGCAGCAGCCCTCCACCTGCCTTTCCTGTGCCCTCCTAGCCCTTGGGTTCTCACACTTTTACTTTCTAGAGTCTGGGAGAAACCTGAAGTTGTCTCTGTGCGGTAACAGAACAAACACATCCTGTTTGGAGACAAGTTCCCTCTCTTCAGAACATTCAGAAATGCCACAGTCTCCGTTTAGTAGCTTTGCCTCAGGTATGCTGATGCTTAGCACAAAGGAGAGGATTGAATTCATGTTAAAGGAAACTTACATCTTGGAGGAAGAGGAGGGAGTGAACACTGGTTTCAAGGTGTGTGCGCCCAAGCAGCAGGCTTCCTTAGCCAGTGCTGAGGGTCACGGTAGAGAAGAAGCAAGAATTGTAATAAAAATATATGACTGCTTGCCCATAGAAGCATTCCCATGGAGGAACCAGAAGAGTCAGCTTAGGTGCCCACCCTCAAAAGAGCAGGCTGGACTGCAGAGGAAAGAACCAGGCTTACAGGAAGGGCAGAGGTCCAAGCGGAGGGTAAGGGCTTAATTAAGCACCTGTTAATTACAGTGTAGACAGAGTATTTCACTGGCAGCTCCAGCTGGAAGGTAGTCTTGTTGGTCGTAGGCTTGTTATTCTCACTGGAGAAGCAGAGGGGATCCTGATTGAGATAGACTCCAGAAGACGTAGCTCCAAGTGGGTGTGAGACTGGGACGGTGAGAGATGCCTGACCTGGGCTCACTCACCTGCTTGCATTAGCCAGCAGCAGCAGCTTGTCTCCCAGAGTGGCCTTGGGAGAGACCTCAAATGTGAGTATGAAGATGCCCTTAGGGAAGAAAGGAGAAATGGTGGGAATAGGGAAGGCCATTGGGGAGTGAGGGAAGAGGAATGTGTCAGGAGAGGGGAGGACAGTGATGAGGATTTGGAGGAAAGCACTGACCTCAATTCCCTCTCTGAAGATGGGGTGATTGATACTGCAGCTGCTGCTTCTCAGCTCCTCGCTCCCAGGGGGCGCTGCCTCACATGCCAGGCTCAGTGGGTGCTGATGAGGATGCTTCTAGGAGAAAAGAATGACTTTTTTAAAATTACGGAATGCATACATAGACTTCATATATAAGCATATATATGCCTGTGGTGGCATTGCAAAGCATTAGGGAATAGACAGACTTTTAATAAGCGATGCAGGAAAATTGACCTACACCAAAAAGGAAGAGAAAACATTGCATCTCTACCTGCCCCTTCCATACATTACAGTAAGTTCCAAAGGGATTAAAGATTTAAACGTGGTGGTTGGTGGTTATGTGCTGTGGAGTCGGTTCTGACTCAAAGCGACCCTGTACAGGGTTTCTGAGGCTGCAAATCTTTGTTGTTGTTGTTGTTGTTGATAGGTGCCATCGAGTCGGTACCGACCCATAGTGACCTTATGCACAGCAGAACGAAACACTGTCTGATCCTGGGCCAGCCTCACTACTGTTGCCACGCTTGAGTCCATCAAAGCTGCCACTTGGTCAGTCCATCTCATTGGGGGTCTTCCTCTTTTTCTCTGACCCTCCACCTTACCAAACATGATATCCTTCTCCAGTGACTGGTCCCTCCTGACAATATGTCTGAAGTATGAGAGACGAAGTTTGGCCATCGTGGCCTCCAAGGAGCACTCTGGCTGCACTTCTTCCAACATGGATCTATTGGTTCTTCTTCTTCTTTTTTTTTTTTAATGTTTTATTGTGAATTATATGATAGTTTACATGGGAGAACATTAGTTTTACATTCATCCTATCGTATATCCTATCATTGCCTTGGTTACAATCCCCTCCATGCATCATCAACCAATCAAAAGGTATACCCTACAAGCCTGCCCCCTGCCCCCGCAGTCGTCAGCACACAGCCCCTCTCCCTCTCTGTGTCTAAAGTCCCCAGCTGCTCCATCTCTCCATGTCATTGTTTCTGCCTCCATCTCAGGCATCACTGCTTCTCTGGGTAGAGTCCTGCTCTCCGCTCTTCCAGATCTATTGGTTCTTTTGGCGGCCCATGGCATTCAATATTCTGCTCCAACACCATAACTCAAAGGCATCAATTCTTCTACGATCTTCCTTATTCACTGTCCAGCTTTTGCATGCCTATGAGGTTATTGAAAATACCATGGCTTGGGTCAGGTGCACCTTAATCTTCAAGCTGACATCTTTGTTCTTCAACACTTTAAAAAAGTCTTGTGCAGCAGATTTGCCCAATGCAATACGTAGTTTGATTTCTTGACTGCTGCTTCCATGAGTGTTGATAGTTGATCCAAGAAGAATGAAGACCTTGACAACATCAATCCTTGTGGTTCTCAGTCCATTGCTGATCCTACAGTGACACACCAGGCATCCTAGTACTGAAAATAGACTTAAATGAACACATTCATATTGACATAGAGTAGTTGAAGCAAATGGAAAAAACAATGAAGTAAAAGCTGAACAGAAAATTTCAAAGGACAGCTCGAGAAGACATAATTTTGTAATGGGATGTACAAAGACCTGGAGTTAGAAAACCAAAAAGGAAGAATGTGTTCAGCATTTCTCAAGCTGAAAGAACTGAAGACAAAAATCAAACCTTGTCTTCTAATATTAAGGATTTTATGGGCCTAAACTTGACTTAACCAGAACCTTCATGAAACGCAGGTTTAGTAGGCACTCTGTTCTTGTTAAGTACCTTAGAGTTGGCTCCTACTCACAGTGACCTTCCTTGTTTCTGAGGAGCAGTTAGTGGGTTTAAACCACTGACCTGGTGGTTCAAATTAACCTTGCAGTCCATCCAGTGCTTTATCCTACAGCACCACACCAGGACTCCTTAAGCTTGAGAAGATAAGTCAAATATTACAGTGAACGGTGCAAAGATCTGAAGTTAGAAAACAAAAAGGGACGAACACTCTCAGCATTTCTCAAGCTGAGGAAAGTGAAGAAAAAATTCAAACCTCAGCTTTTGTTATTGAAGGATTATCTGGGCAAATTATTGAATGATGCAGAAAGCATCAAAAGAATATGGACGGAATATACAGTCACTATACCAAAAAGAAATGGTGAATGTTCAACCATTTCAACAGGTAGCATATGATCAAAAGCCAATGATACTGAAGAAGTCCAAGATGGAAGTCCAAGAAGGAAGAAGTCCAAGATGCACTGAAGGCATTGGCAAAGAACAAGGCACCGGGAATTGTTGGAATACAAATTGAAGTCTTTCAACAAACTGATTCGGCACTCATTCATCTATGCCAAGAAATCTGGAAGACAGCTACCTGGCCAATTGATTGGAAGAGATCCATATTTAGACCCATTCCAAAGAGAGGTGACCCAATGGAATTTGTAAATCATCAGACAATATTATTAATATCACACATAAGAAAAGTTTTTACGTGTGATATTAATCCAAAAATGGCTATAGCAGCACATTGACAGGGAGCTGCCAGAGATTGAGGCCAGATTCAGAAGAGGGCATGAAATGGGGGATATCATTGTTGATGTCAGATGGATGTTGGTTGAAAGCAGAGAATACCAGAAAGATGTTTACTTGTGTGGGTCATAACAAATTATGGATAGTAGTGCAAAGTATGGGAGAATTCCAGAACGCTTCATTGTGCTCACGAGGAAACTGTACATAGACCAAGAGGCAGTCGTTCAGACAGAACAAGAGTCATTGTTCTTAGGTGCTGTAGAGTCAGTTCCAACCTATAATGACAACACAACAGAATGAAACACTGTCTGATCCTGTGCCATCCTCACAATTGCTGCTACACTTGAACCCACCGTGGCTGCTACTGTGCCAACCCATCTGTGTGGGGGTGGGATGGGGGGGAGTCTCTCTCATTTTTGCTGGCCCTCCCATTTACCAAGTAAGACCCAAGGAAAACTGTTGGAATACTACACAATTTTAAGGAATAATGATGAATCCACAAAATAGCTCATATAACATGGCTGAACCTAAAGGACATTACATTGAGTGAAATAGTTCGGTCACAAAAGAACAATATTGTATGAGACTACCTTTATAAAAGGTCAAGAAAAGGCTGGCACACAGAAACCTTAAGGGTAGGGTGACACAGCCAATTACTGTCATGGCTGTCAATAAGTTGTGTACCTGTAAAAAGGTAAACTGGCAAAAGTTGCTTTACGAACAATCATGATTTAAAAAAAAAAAAAAAAGCTGCTGAAGCTGCTTGTGTATAACCAAGCACTTGATGGGATTTGCTTTCTTGGTTTGGAAGTTGAGGGTCATGGTTTCATGGACCATCCCAGTCAACTGGCCTAATAACATGTTAGTGTTTCTGTTCTAGCTCCTAGTTCACTGAGCAGTGCCTGGAGTCTTAAAGCAAGCAGTCATCCAACGCACAACAATTGGTCTCTATTCACCTAGAAGAGTAAAGGAAGGAAGAGAGTTTATGGAATGTGTAGCGAACTGCCTCCATTAATAACTGTCTGCTTTGCCATGAGATCAGAAGAACTATACAGTGCCTGGTTATCTGCAAAAGACGCACAAAACCATCCTTCCACAGCCCTCTCTACTCAGCTCGGTTCAGTAATTCATAGCAACAGCTGCACAGAACTCAGACACCATATTCACAGTTATGGGGTTTGTTAGGGACGTTAACACGTTACAACTCAGGGTCAGACATGCTCAGGATACAGTTCTTCCAGTCAGGCCAAACTCTTCAATGCTGTACCCACAGGCAGGCTACTCTCTGGCCGCTGGCCTCTGGCCTGCTTCAGCAATGTTAGAAAGCTCTTTTAGGGCTGCTGGTAAGTGCCCACAGGACACACCACTCCAACATAAGGCTCAGCCTGAAGGTCTGTGACTCTTGCTCCATGGGTCAGAAAACTTGGCACCTGGAGGCACCCCACTCTGTAGGCACTCAGCTTTACTTGCTCTGTGGTCTGAGAAACCCACTGCTCTGTCTGGTGTTCTGGTTCTTGGTTCTGCTACTGATGCTCCGCTGCCACTCCTGTGCTACTCCTCTGGTGTCACAGCCTTCTGTCCTTGGGTCGAGGAGGCTCAATACACAAAGATCTCAGGGTTCAAAGAATGCACTGCACTCCTAGCTCTCTTCCTTGACAGTTGCACGATGTCCCCTCCTACTTCTGAGCTGGTTCATTTTATACCCAGAAAACTCTAGTTTTAAGTCTTTACAATGACAATTGATTCTGCTAATATCCATAACTGAATCATGTCATCTTATCAGTATCTTTTCCCACCTTCTCTTACTCAGATCCATCAGAAAGAGTCATTTAAGAGGAGACCTATTAAACAATTCACTCCACCACACTATTATTGAGCATTTGGATCAAATATTCCATAGCATAATCCTGATCAAAAGGTGGAGAATGCAGAACAGAATGTAAAATTCTCAAGGAGTCCAGAATTCCATGCACCATGAAGGTGCGAAGAACCTCTGAAACTGTCGCCCTAAGATTATCTGTAAACTTTAAACCAAAAACATCCCTTGAATTCTTCTTTAAAAACACAAAAAAAATGTTCAGCTTTACTAGCAATACATATCTGCCTTAAACATTATGTTCTTTTAAGAACTATCTATATGGGATCAAAGTGACAACGGTAGCTTGAAAGATTAAATTAAAACCTTTGGGGGCAGTGACTTAATGCTACTGGGAGAGCATCAAGTCAGAAAAGGAGGCTGGAAATGGTTGCAGAACTCAAAGAATAGAATCAATGCCACTGAATTGTAAAAAACAGTTGAATTGGTATATTTTGCTGGGCATATGCTCAACAACTGCTACTCCATCTGTCCATTTGTTGTACTGTGGTGGCTTGCATGTCACTGTGATTTTGAAGCTATGCCACCGGTACTTTAAATACCAGCAGGGTCACCCATGATGGATAGGTTTCAGCTGAGCTTCCAGAAGAAGATAGACTAGGAAGAAAGAAAGATGGACTACTTCCAAATATTTAGTCACTGTAAACCTTATTAATAGCAATGGAACGCTGTCAGCATCAGAATATTGAATATTGAAACATGATGAAGAGCACCAGAATATTGTCAGATACAGGGCCAGAAGATGAGCCCCTCGAGTTGAAAAGCACTCAAAATACAACCGGGAAAGAGCTGGCGCCTCAAAGTAGATTTGACTGTGATGACGTGAATGGAGTAAAGCCTTTGGAACCTTCATTTGCTGCTGGGACACAAATCAAAATGAAGAGGAACAGCTACAAACATCTATTGTTAACTGGAACATGGAATGTACAAAGTATGAATCTAGGAAAATTAGAAATTGTTAAAACTTAAATGGAACGCATAAACATCAATATCCTAGGCATTGCTGAGCTGAAATGAACTGGTACTGGCCATTTTGAATCTGACAATCACATAGTTTACTATTGCAGGAATGACAAAATGAGAAGGAATGGCGTCTTATTCATCGTCCAAAAGAACGTATCAAAATTGGTCTTGAAGTACAGTGCTGTCTGTGATAGGATGATATCCATATGCTTACAAGGAAGACTACTTGATACCACTATTATTCAAATTTACACACCAACCACTAAAGCCAGTGATGATGAAGAATTCTACCAACCTTTTCAGTCTGAAATTTATCAAACTTGCAATCAAGATGTATTGGTGATTACTGGCGATTGGAATGGAAATTGGAAACAAAGAGAGTGGGTCAATAGTTGGAACATATGGTCTTGCTGATAGAAATGATGCTGTAGATGACAGAATTTTAGAAGACCAATAACTTCTTCATTGTAAATACCTTTTTAAATAGCATAAAAGATGACTATACACATGGACCTCACCAGATGGAATACACAGAAATCAAATTGACTACATCTGTGGAAAGAGACGGTGCAAAACCTCCATATCATCAGCCAAAGCAAGACCAGGGGCAGACTGTGGAATAGATCATCAGTTGCTCGTCTGCAGGTTCAGGCTGAAGCTGAAGAAAATTAAAGCAAGCACATGAGAGCCAAAATTTGAACTTGAACATATTCCACCTAAATTTAGAGAGCATCTCAAAAGCAGATTTGATACATTAGACACCACTGACTGAAGACCAGAAGAGTTGTGAGATGACATCACAAACATCATACAGGAAGAAAGCAAAACTCATTAAGAAGACAAGAAATCAGGAAAAGACCAAAATGGAAGTCAGAACAGACTGAAACTTTCTCTCCAGTGTAGAGATACTAAAGCAAATGGAAGAAATGAGGTGGTACAAGAGCTGAACAGAAAGCTTCAAAGGTTAGCTTGAGAAGACAGAGTCAAATATAATGAAATGTGCAAAGACTTGGAGTTAGAAAATCAAAATCAAAAGGGAAGAACATGCTCAGCATTTCTCAAGCTGAACTGAAGAAAAAATGCAAACCTTGACTTGAAATATTGAAGGATCCTATATGCAAACTATTGAATGATGCAGAAAGAATCAAAAGAAGATAGAAAGAATTAACAGAGTCACTGTACCAAAATGAAATGGTCAATGTTCAACCATTTCAAGAGGGAGCATATGACCAAAAGCCAATGATCCTGAAGGAAGAAGTCCAAGGTGCATTGAAGGCACTGGCAAAGAACAAGATACTGGTAATTCATGGAATACAAGTTGAAATCTTTCAACAAACTGATGTTGTACTGAAGACACTCACTCATTTATGCCAAGAAATTTGGAAGACAACTATCTGGCCACCTGACTAGAAGAGACCCATTTTTGTACCCATTCCAAAGACAGGTAGACAGGTGACTCAACAGAATGCAGAAATCATCAGACAATAGCATTAAGATCGCATGCAAGTAAAATCTTGCTAAAGATAATACAAAAATGGTTGCAACCATACATTGACAGAGAACTTCCAGAGGTTCAAGCTGGATTCAGAAGAGGACATGGAATGAGGGATAACATTGCTGACATCAGATAGATCTTGGCTAAAAGCAGAGAACACCAGAAAGATGTTTACCTGTGCATTATTGACCACTTGAAGGTTTTCGATTGTGTAGATCATGACAAGTTATGGACAGCATTGCAAAGAATGAGCATTCTGGGACACTTAATTGTGCTCATGAGGAACCTGTACCTAGACCAAGCAATTGTTCGAAAAGAAGAAGGGAATATCGAATGGTTTGAAATTAGGAAAGGTGTGTGTCGGGGTTGTATTCCTTCATCAAACTTATTCAAGCTGTAAGGAGTGATGATGTGGCACTGTAGGATCAGCATTGGACTGCTAACTACAAGGTTGGTGGTTCAAACCCACCAGCCACTCCTTTGAAATGCTATGCAGGGTCACTATGGGGCAGAAAGAAGAAAAGAAACTTACTATAACCCAGGTTATAGTAACTCCTCCACCGAGAACCTAGGGGAGCTGTTTACCTGGAGCCCTAGTACCCGCCGATAGGACAGCCCTGGTGGGTAGTAGAAGTTGATCATCGTTCCGTAGGAATCTTCACCCTCATTCTTCACAGTCACCGTCACATTGAGTTCCAGGGAGCTCCCCACCACTAGAGTCTGCAGGCTGAAAGGGGAAGGACCAGACTGGAGTGTAATTCCATTGGAAACAGGTTGGAATTGGATCACGGATAGATTGTGGGAACTCGTGAGCTATGGACTGGTTACATTTCAATCAGAACAATTTCTTTGTTAGAAGACTAAAGGGGACCGTGAGCACTTATTCCATGAGGATGGGAGACTCAGAAGCTTGAGTGTCTGAGTCTGAAATGAGATAGAGCTTACTTACCCTGAGAAGCTGAGGCTGACACTCAGGTCTCCTTCACAGAGAAGATCTTGTCCACAGTTCTTCTCAAAAGGGAGCTGCAACAAAACAGTATATTGTCTTCCCAACCTGCATCTTAATCTTTCTTCGATTCTCTCATCAAGGGTACTCATCAACATTACTGAGCACCCACTCAGCACCCAGCACTGTGCTAGATATTGGCAAGGAGTGACGGGGTATAGAATATAAAAGAAAGGTAAGACAAGACCCTTGACTTCAAGGAGCATGAAGTCTAGTTGAGGAGCCAACTCATACTGTAACAATTGTTCAACAAACATTACTAAGGACTAAGAATGGGACAGGTTCTAAGTTGGGTAGAGGGTTAGGATGAGTGGAAAACACAAGTGAATTAGACATGTGAATTAGACTTCTTGCTCTCAAGGAAACTACAATCCCCAAAGATCCACTGATGTAGATGCAGATGTTGTGGTTCCAGTCTTTGGATGTATGGCATATGCTGACACCACCATGGAAGAATGGGGAGTGGGGAAGACCTGGAAGAAACCAAGTATGGTTTTTAAAGGAGAGGTAGATAAGATTGTGGCTTTGGGGACTCAGGAAGATCTTTGGGGTGGAGAGAAGGAAGTGCTTCCCAAATGAGAGATAGAACATGAGCAGAGGCACAGAATTATGAATGAGAAAAGTAAAAAATATTCTGCAGGGTGAGAACCAGAATAATGTTGGGGTAAAGTGGATAGCCAGGTGGTATGTATAAGAGCCCAAGCTAGGCAGGGACCTGGAACTTGAGTGGAAGTGTTTTGGATTTCATGTGGTTAGTGGGCAGTTGAGAGCCACTGCAGATACTTAAGTACATGGAGGCACAATACTTAGGACTTGATTGGAAGACTCACAGAAGTGGTGAAGAGGTCCTGTGAACCCATATCCATCACAGGACGAAGATTCCGGAATAACGGGATGGGCAGTCCCACCAGGGAGAAGTTGAAACGCAAGATGATAGGGCTCACAGAGTCTTCCACACAGTCCTGAGAGAGAGTGGACTTTCAAGAACCCACTATCCATCTTAACTTTCTACCACTGGAACTTTTCCTCCACTGGATCCCAGCTGCCACACAGCTCCACATCTAAACTGGGGCACCCAATGCCCTAGCTCCTCTTTTCTCTGCAATCCAGTTACCCTCTCCTTCCCAACTGACTCAGCAGATTAGCAGGGAGGCTGGAGGCCAGCCTTGGGCTCTCCCTCCCTCTCCCTTCCCAGAACCCAAAGTCCTCACTGGTAAAAGCAGTTTCACGGTTTCACAGTGATCCCCCAGCCCCAGGATTTTTGTTCGAGTCAAAGTCCAGTGCTTGGTCTCATCAAAAATGGCACGAGAGATCAGACGACCTGGGTCCAATGTCAGGTCATACCTGATGAAGCTTTGGACATCACCTGGAGTAGAAGAGGAGCAAAAGATAGAAAAGGAGGAGGTTCTATTCTTTTTGTTTATTTCTCTATGCATTAAATATCGACTGAGCACTATCTATGGGCCGTGAACCATGTGCTAAGGATACACGTATAGAAGAAAATAGCTGTAGTCTCTGCTCTTATGAGACTCAGAGTCCAATAAATGAGTACAGAGTCCATGACCTCACAAAGCTATCAGTGTGAGGGAGGGATCCTCTGGTAGCAATACTGAGGAGTACATCCTAACACAGACCTGGAGGAATAAAGATGCCTTCTTAGAGGGGCCAAAGTTTAAACTGAAGCCTGGAGGATGAGAGGGGAGGAGAAAGTCCCAGACTGTGGCAACATTGGAGATGGACACATTTACAAAACAAAAATATCAGCCTGCTTGGAGTGTTTTAAGTAAGAGGAAGTGGAATATGGTGAGGCTGGGATGGCACTTTGGGGCCAAATAAGACATTCTAGGGCAAGATTTGGGTCTTTATAAATGCAAGGAGAACAACTGAAGGGTGTTAAATGGTGAGGAAAATTTCTTCTGTGATGAATGGGTTGTGGATTCAAGAAAAATGTGGGGAGCAAGTGAGACTGTCATTATTATCTATAGATTAAGTGATCTAAAGGTGGTTAGGGCCAGTAGACAAAAGTGGAGACAGAATTAACAGACATGGGTGTGGGAAGAGGGGGGAAGAAGGGACCCAGGTTTTTGACAAGGCATCTGGTTAAACGTAGAGGTGAGATTTGGATTCCTGAGCCCCATCTTCCTTGCAGATAAGACTGGGAGCCTTTAGCAGGGTGGGAGACTGGGTCTACTTGGAGGGTACTCACCTAGCTGGTCAAGGGAGATTTTGTGAATAGTGAGACAGACGGTGGCATCCCCAGCTTCCAGGATGGTGCGCATCTCTCGCCAGCACTGGTACACAGTCTTAGGCACCTCCACGGGCATGAACCTTATGGCTACCCCTACTTTCAGCACAGGCCGACCCCTGAGGGGTATAAGCAAGGAATGAGGACAGAGTTCTGACCTTAGGCGAAAATGCATCTGGAGGGGAGGCGATAGCACTGGTGAAATCAGGCACACAGTGGTCAAGTTAAAGGTGTGTGTGTGTGGGGTCATTACCTGAGCAGCAGCATGTGTCCCTGGGCCCCCACAGCCAAGTCTACCAGTCCGTCCTCGGTAAGATCCTGACCCCCACTCAGCGACTGCCCAAAATACTGGAGCTTTGGAGAAAACTGGGAGCCTGCGATCCGCTAGTCATTGAGGAAAAAGAGAAGTGAACATCATGGGCAAGTGATTGAAAAGATGGAAGGAAGGAGCTTTACAAAGGAGATAGCAATGAAAGGTATGGAGATGGAGTTACTGCAAGGAGAGATGATGGAATGGAAATGTAAAGCAATCAGTGTGAGATACCAGGGGCCTCAGAAGGGAGCTCTTTGGGTCAATTCATCACCAGGGTGCAGGTTAACAATGAAATAAAAGTAATAGGAATATAATAGACTTATTTATTATGTTAACTTATAAGTATTTGATGAGAATGGAGTGTGAATTTCTTCCTTGTGCTATCTATAAGAAGCCTGTTGTTAGGTGACTTCAAGTCGGTTCCGACTCATAGCGACCTGCATGGGTTTTGGAGGAGCTACTGGTGAGCTTGAACTGCTGATCTTGCAGTTCAAACTGACCTTGCAGTCCAGCTCATTAACCTGTGAGTGCCACACCAGGACTCCATAAGAAGCCTGAGGAGGTGGTTTTATCATTGCCATATCTCATAAATGCTAAGTCAGACACTTACTTAAGGTCACACAGCTTAATGGGTCTAGACCTGTGTCCACCTTCTTAACATTGAGACTTCCAAAATAAAATCTGTTGAGACTCAAAGGAGAAAAGAGAGATGGTTGTGTTTATTTGGGCCTGGTGGGATTCAGGAACATAAACCACTAGACCAGGGTGGGGAATGTCCAGCCCACAGCCCGTATTGCTGTTTTTATGTGCCGTCGAGTCAGTTTCAACTCAGAGCGGCCCTATATAAGGTTTCCAAGGAGCAGCTGGTGAGCTTGACCCTCCGATTTTGTTATTCAAACCGATGTTGTTGCCCAGCGCATTAATCCATAGCACCACACCAGGATAAGGTCTTTGAAATCATTTGGTCTGGCACTGCCAAGGCAACCGCAGTTCCAGCCACCATGTTGTTGTGAAGTGTTGTCGAGTCGGTTCCAACGAGTGGCTGGTGAGCTTGAACTGCTGACCTTGCAGTTCAAATGACTTTGCAGTCCAGCGCATTAACCTACAACGCCACACCAGGACTCCACTATCACATTGTTGTTGTTAAGTGCCGTCAAGTCGATTCTGACCCATGGCGACCCTGTATAGGGTTTCCAAGGAGCAGCTGGTGAACTTGAACCGCTGACCTTGCAGTTCAAATGGCTTTGCAGTCTGGCACATTAACCCACAGCGCCACACCAGGTCTCCATCACATTAGGTGTGAGTTAATTCAATGTTTGACCAAATATCGCTGGCTAATTTTTAAGTTGATGATTTTGTATGGCCCATGAATGATTTATAAATTTTGGCAGAAAAAAGTTTCCCCACCCCAGCAATAAAGAAGGAGGTGAATGGCATCTGCAAAGACCAGTGACTCGGGGAGAACAAACAAGATGGTGGATCGGGTGGACGTATAGCAGACCTCCGCCAACAACAACACAGAATACCCGACCAAGCAGGCTCAGGGGATGGTCCCAGAACTCTGAACCACATATAAAGGAATACT